TACAGGATTTTTATTCGAAAGAGACAGGAAAGGGATGTGGGTGTTCATGAATCAGGCATCGAGTTGGTGAATAGACTTGTGATTATCCTTCACCAAAAGGACGGTGTGGCGGTAAGATGGATGCAGAGGGTAGAGTGGATTTGGTTCAATTGAATCCATGGAATGCCTTGATTCAGTGCCCTCTTTGCTCGACTTCGATTCACGTAGCCATGGAAGTAGATGGAAGTAAATCTTATGCGGTGGCGCTCTAGACGAAGAGATTTCCTATGAATCAGGTAGGGTAGACAAGACCCGAGAGCGTTTTGGGTCGTTTCTTGGATCCTAAAAGAGTCCAGGAGCCAAGGAAAAATTTTAGGGCAGGAAGTTGCTTTGGGCCTCGGTTTGGGCCTCGCAAGAATTCAGAAGAGAGATGGGCTGGTACCTCTAACAACTCTAATTGAGGGCACACTGAGAAAAGAAAATATAGTAGGGAGGAGAAAGCGAAATGGGTCGTTGATCCGGGGCTTTAGCCCAAGGATATCGATGCCCAATGGGCGAAGCTTCACTAAGAGGGGTTGGTGGAGACCTGTCAATAGCATCCCTACCAGAGGAGAAACTTCGGGTCAGAACTTAGGGCAACATAAGGGACGAGCAGGGGAAAATGAAGGTGCTATCGTGGAAAAGCAGAAGGAAGAGGAGGTGAGTGGAGTGGAGAAAGGTGAGTTGCTTCAATGTTGGGAGACAGATGATAGATTTGAAGAGGTTGACCATGTAAGTTCTTATGCATCTATGGATAAGGAGATGGGAACGAAAGGAGATGAGGGGCTTCTAGCCAGGGAGGATGGTAGAAAGCTGGCTCTGATGATTGTTGATGATGAAATTTTACCTCTTGACTCTAAGGGTGACGTTAGGGAAAGGGCGTTCAGCTGCGATGATGAGGTTCGTGGAGTTGAAGAGGACACTGCGAGTTCAACTTGGATGCTCCAGAACGCTCAAAAGCTTAGTAGAGCGATGGGTGTGTCGTTCGAGGGCTTGGAAGACCAGGTATGTTCCCTTCTTCATGAAATTTTTAGAAGGAGATTGGCAAAAAAGAAAGATAACGTGGCTGGAGCAAAAGAGAAGAAAAAACAGTCAGATGGTCCCCCTAGAGAATTGAAAAGACTAGAATTTTTTATCAATTATGAGGGAAGGAAGGTGGAGAAGACGAGGGTGACAGATTCTGGTAATAAGAAATGATTGGTAAAATTGTGTCTTGGAATGTGAGGGGTTGCAATGACAACGGAAAGAAGGGGATAATTAGAGGCTGTCTGAATAAATGGAAGCTGAATGTGGTTTGCCTACAGGAAACCAAGCTAGAACTGTGCGATTATATGACCATTAGATGCCAGTGGAGCAACAAAGATGTGGGTTGGCACTACTGTCCTGCAAAAGGGGTGGCTGGGGGGGTGGTCATTATGTGGAAGGAAGAGAAATTTTAATGCCTGGATGTGGTGAGGGGGGAAACGACTTTGTCGGTCCTTTT